CAACATATCATATAGCTTGCAAATCAAATCAAATCTTGGATAAATGCAAAGATTTAGTCCAAGTTTGTTAACCTAATTCACTCTAGGTTATATAATGAAGAATTCCAGATTAAAAAACAGGGGTTAGAGGTCGTGAGAAGCATAGAACAAAGTTGAATAAAGTTGGCAAAAGTGTGAATTGGTTTTCACTCCACAAGCCATCTCAAGCCAGCCTAGCTATACCAATCCATTGCTGGACGTCCCAGGAAGCTGTCTCAATCATTTGCAAGGCCTGAAACACCCAGAAACGCACGCTACACTTCACACGGTTTGACATATTTTCTCAATTTGATTATCACAATTCTTGCATCATTAGCACTTTTGATTGTTATATTCATGTTTGCAATCATGTTTGCAAGCTAACCATTCCATTTAATTGCGTTTTTGATGCATGTACATGATGTTGCCATTGCTAGGGTTTCTGTGTTCGTTTTAGGGGTTTTCAGTACAGGCAAAATTAGAACTTGAATCAAGTACTATGATGCTCGTGAGGATGAGACGAGTTGATTGGTACCATTACCTTTCATTTATATTACTTGTACATGATTTTTGAATGTCACAGGTTTATAGTTACAGCAAAATTGCTATAGGTAAAAGTCCTTTAGTCTAAAACGACGGAGAAGGGAAGAAGATGATGGCGTGGAGGAAAATGATTGGTCCATTCAAACTGGCGCGCGTTTTTTCTGTTTTGGCCACCTACTCACGTTTTAGTACATATTATGTTTTATTATTATTATACTAACAACAAAAACGTGAAACGCAACTGGCAAGCAAATGTTGGTATTGATCATAAGGACCTGGATTCGATCCCCAGGTCCCAGTATTTCGTTTATGTTATTTTCATTCAATAGATCCAATGCAGTGCACTATCCAGCAACCACCATACTCCATCAACATATGTCCAAGTGATCCAACGTATCATCAGATCCCACGCCTCTCCAATGAAGGTCTAACATGCTCCTCAAGTCAACGCCCATACCAGATTTAGCGCTGACCAGGCTTGATGCTAAATGGGCCTTACAAAATTCAGATTTTTGCACCCCCAGATTTGCCAACAACACATGCCCATTTCTCAATTTCTTTTTTATTTTTCTTTCATCTTTTTTTTTGTTTAATTATTTTTTTTTAAAATCAGTTTTAATTAAATCATAAAAAAATAAAAAAAATTAGATTTTGTTGTTTTCTTGTTAAATTTAATTTTGTTAATTAATTAGATTAATGTTTAAATTAGGGTAACTTTAATTTGTTTTTCACAATTAAAATTAAATTAGAAAATTAGGTTAACTCTTGATTTAATTTTTTATCTTTTTTTTCTCAAATAAACAAAAAATACAAAAATAGGTTGTTTAGAATTAATTAATTAATTTTCAAAAATTAACATTAATTAGAACTTAGAATTTTCTTTTAATTTAATTCTCCATTATTTTTTTAAATAACAAAAACGACCAAAACATTTTTTCTTTAATCAATCGCAAGTAGGATTAGTCAACGGGTCAAAACCCTAATCGCCTCGCATTTAATTCACCGCGCGCTTGTTTATTATTTCACCATTACTTTGTAATTGTTCAGGGTTTGTAATAGTTAACTTAGGGTTTTTTTTGCTGTTTAAATCCCCGATTTTTGGTTATGTAATTAATCCCCCTCCCCGAAGCCTTGTAATAGCTAGGTTTATTTTCTCGCATTTTTAATTCCTGCAAATATTTAACTGTTAGATGTATGTTTAGGATTGTATGGCAAGAATGCATGACAAATTAAAACGGTTAGAAAACCCTAATGTGCAAAGATAATAAACTGAAAATAAATCACTCGCACATATTCACTCTTAGGATATACTCTCACTTCGGTTGCCTTCGGTAAACGATCATTAAGCATAGGGTGTCTTAGTGGTTGCCCTCCAGTCTAAAAGATCAAATGTCCCATTCGAATATTGCCTCGGAAATGTTGCCTCGGAAAAGATCTTAAGACTTTAGGGTTATTACTAAGGTGTCATAATATTGCTTTAGTGATCGTACGTCCCTTTCGAATTGACCCTTACAACTCCAACGACGGTGCTACCTATTTCTCAATAGTTGCATAGCACTGTCTAAAGGAAACAAGAATAAAAACGATCTTTTTCGAGTAGGTAGATGCTAGTAGGTACTTGCTCAAATCAAAACTTTTCACACTTACACTTTTCAAACAAATTTTTAAAACAACTTCGTCACACCCTTGAGGACTGATACAAGGGTTATCACGAAGTAAAACATTTTTCAAAACAAAGCACACACAAGCAATTTAAAAATGAGCAAGTACCTAAGAGCCCGTGGAAAACCATGGATAGAAAGGGTGCTAACACCTTCCCTTTCTATAATCTACTCCCCGTACTCAAAATCTCGAAAAAGGATTTTTTCTATACATTTTTCCTTTCCGATTGGATGAAATAAAAGTCTGTGGCGACTCTTGCTTTCCGCGACATTTTGTGAATAAAAAACGCAAAACGCAAACCAGTATTAAACAGTTAGTTCTGCCACCGTATCAAAGTGTCATATTAATTCGAGTGAACTGTCAGACTGGTCTTTCCATTATTGGCTGATTGCTTCTTTGCTGAGCAGGTGCGGTCTTAGGAATCATGACAACCCCCACCATTGGATGGAGTTCAGTCCTTTCTTGATTTCTATGAGGATATACAGCAACAAATTCTTTCTTTCCAATGAATGGTTTCCTTACAGCAGCAGGGGATGCATCTTTTTGAATTTTCCCATTCTTTATCCCGGCTTCCACCCTTTCTCCGGTCAGTATCAACTCAGTAAAGCCTGCCGATGAACTCCCAATTAAGTGATTGGAGAAAGGACCGGACAAAGTGCCCAAAAACATATCTACTAATTCTCTTTCATATAGGGGAGGCTGGACTCTTCCTGCTAAGTCCCTCCATTTTTGCGCATAGTCTTTAAAGCCTTCACTTGAAACCATGGCCATACTCTAGAGTTGAGTACTATAACACCCTAAAAATTTTAATCATAATTATTATTATTACTATTATTATTAGTATTATTATTAGTATTATTATTATTATTTCTAAATTTATTTTACACATTTTTTTTAGTACCTATTAAATAATTTATTTATTATATTTATAGAGTGAATTTGTGAAAAACAACTTTAAAAATAAATCATAAGATTTCTTTGTATATAATAATTAATTATGTTTTTAGTATATATTAAAATCGTATAAGGGATAATAAGGAACAATTTTAGGATACGTTTTACAGCTATTTGATGACATCAAGGGCACGTGTAAAATTTTTTCACCAAGTATTGTAAAGGTCTTATACTGTACATATGATATGCTGTCAAATTTTCTACCAAGTAAGATAATACCACTCCTCTATAAATAGAGTTGATGCATGCTCAAATAACTCATTCACAAAACTCTTATATCAAGCATTAGCAACACACATAAGTTCTTACTGAAGGTAAGTAAAAAATATATATATATACTTGACTTCTTTTTCATTCTTGTATAGAAAAGCATAACAACAACTTTATAGGAACATACACACTTAAATGATTATTTAGTATTGAATAATTATGTGAATCATGATATCTATTTATGTTTGACAAATATTTATTCTTTTTGATATTAGAACCAAGTAGTGTAAATCAATTTTTGTACTGAATATTTATATGTAAGATTTTCATTTCAAAATTTAATGACCAATATACAGTTACGTTTTTTTTTCAATTTAATTAGTTAACCTAGTTTTCAAAAATATTAATTACTGGTCACTTTAATTTATACTATGTATAATAAATCAAATTGTTAATATAAGTTCTTCGTTTTATTAAATATAAACAATATATTTATAATACTTTTATAGATATGATATTCATCTTAGAAAATTAAAACTTATACTTATTTATTTATTTCAAAAATACGTATGATGTATTGATGTATATAAAAATAATTTAAAATTTAATTAGTTCATTAGTTAATTCTATTTTGTCCTTTAAATTTAATACTTGTTAGAATTTTTAATATTTAAGATTAGTAATTGAAATATAGTTATGTTGTTGAGTAAATAGGTATCGGGGAAGTGATTACTCAAGTAGATTGAGAAAGCTCAAAGGTAAGGGGATTTACTAATAATAAGTTTCGATGAGCACAAGAAACGTGATAATTGTACATATATATATTATTAGTTATAATTAGGAACTTTTGATATTGACAATTTTAGATTTTTTATCAAATATGTGTTTTGAAGTGTATATTAATGGTGTTGGTGAATGTGATTATTAATTGTGGTAAATAAAGTGAAGAAATGTATAAAGAATTTACTAACCACTTAATTTAAGAGTAAAACAGGTTGTTTCTTATAATACGATGAAGTTTATAAGACTGAGGATAGGTTCGGTTGGGTCGACTACAGACCTTCTGGGGGTCACATGTGTTTTGAACTCCTACCAAAGGTCAGTGATAGCCACTCTGACCGGAGGAAATCATAATACCCGACACAGTGATACCTGACTGTACAGGACTATCTAAAATAAGGTGTAGCGCTCAGGCCAGAATGGTTGGAGTAGAAGTTGGATATCTACTCATTGCAAAACAATCATGATATGGCAGTTGAAACGGCCTTATGCTCATGTTGGAATAGATGTCTCCATGGAGTAGGGTTGAACAAGATGATTAAAATTTACATTATACTGCCAATAGAAATATGGATTTTTATTTTATCATGACTAACATTTGTCTTGTGATCATTGACAGGATATTCTATATTCTTAATGGATGAATGTTTTGTGATTAAATGATTCTACGTGACTATTTTATTTTGTTTATATATATATGTGAAATTGAATTATTTAATATATGATGTTCTATTTAGCAAAATATTGCATATAATTGTATAATATTATTTGTAACCTTGTGTGATCATCATGATGTAAACTTGTGTACGAGTATTTCATCCCTTACATTACAAATGATGATGGGGGAGCCACTGGATCATTCGGGTACGCGGAAAATTGAGTGTCTCGAGGAACAGGGGGATGCGGTTTGGGAAATTGATAGAAATGCCCAAACTTTAAAGTTTACAGGACATGTAAGAACTACCGAAGGAATAAGAGGACTAGCAGTTTCCTCCATTACACATCACATCACTTTAGAATTGGTACTGCCAATGGAACAGATGATAAGAGCACTCACATTAGATAGTGTTGGGGAGAATTCTACCTCTGCTAGACATAGGGGACCTAGGCCTCGCAACCGTCCTTCTCCACGTGTTAGAGTTCATGGTCCACATGTTCCTCAATATGATAACGCTGGTGCAGGTGAAAATGGATTTGCAAGGAATGGTCGTGTTGAATCAGAGGAGGATCCTTCTGAATACTTAGGAGATAGTAGTGTCAATGGGGATTTGCCCAATGGACACTAATGACATGCTGATGGGTGACTCTTAGTGGTGGAAAGTTTAGGAACCATTTTGGGATAGTTTGTAGACTAGATATGTCTATGTTTCTAGACTTTTCTTTTGATAGTACTGACTTTGAATGATGTGAATATAACTATGACTAAGGTGTTGTCTTGCAGGTGATATAAGAATAATTATATAGGTTTGATGTTAGTATAATATGTAAGCCTACGGGCAAAATAAGCAGTACTGTGTGTATTATAAAATAATGTATAATATGTGTGTGTATTCGCTTGACTTTAACTTTTAGATTAATTTCAAATAATTTTAAAAAAGTTTTAATGAAACTAAGAATTTTAAAGTATTTTTTTTAAATAACTATTTAAGATATAATACTATATAAGAAAATTTTGGGGTGTTACAAGTACGGGTTAGCGCAAGATCAGCGTTGTATTGGTATTATTTGTAAAAGGTAGCAGCCATATCTTCCCAGTTATGAACATTGGCTCTTTCTAACTGATAAAACCAATCAAGTTGAGTTCCAGACAGGCTGTCTTAGAAGAAGTGTACCCATAAATCCTTGTCAGTGGTATGAGGCTGGATTTTCCTCACATAGGACCGGAGATGCATTTTGGGACATGAAACTCCGTCATATTTGGCGAACACCAGTGCTTTGAATTTTGGAGGAATGACAATCCAGGATGCTAACCCCAACTCCTCAAAGTCCAATCCAGGCACTTTTTGGATTTCCATTGCACTTAACCGTTCTTCCAGATACTTATACTTATCATCAGCTAGAGGATATTGTTCTTCAGAATAATCTTCTTCTTCCTCTTCCTCTTCTGACTCTGGCTGGATAACTGCTTCCTTGCCTTTCCCATCTTGATTGTCTTTCTCACCATATGACATTGCAAAGTCTAGGGTCCTTCTTGCTTGTCCTTGGAATCTTCTTCGCATATTCAAAACTCCGGTTATTTTCTTTGTTTTCTTCTTTTTCTTTTCAACCAGCAAGGTCTTCAACTCTTCTTGCCCTTTGGCTAGAGTTAAGAACATATGTTGAAACTAAGCATTTTGTGCTTGGAGGTCCTTCACCGTCTGCTCGAGATCCATCTTACTGAAATAAACAGTAGAAAGATGAGGAGGTTTGTTGCAAGAAACCTGCTTATGTCATGATGAATGGTAAATGCATATGCAATGATTTCAAGGATTTTAGAGATTCAAATTCATTTTAGACAAAAAGGAAACACACGTTATATTAATAAATTAAAGCTTGAGTACATCAATGCCATTTTGGGCTTACACAGAAATATAAAAAAAACTCTAAGATAAAAAGGTTGTGCGCATCCTCTTTGGTGCGATGTAGGCATTCAGAGTCCGCTCCTCATGAAGTTGCTTAGTGAGTTCTAAAACCTTCTTCTCGCTAGCGTATAATTGGGCCTCAAAAGTATCTCGCTCTCCCTTGAGCTGTATCCAATCTCTTTGTAAGTATTCAAGACAGGTGGGCATGTCAAGATGTAGGATGGTGTAAGGAACATCTCCTTCCACAACAGGCTCTATGATCACCGGGAGAATGGAGGGATAAGGCATCATAAGACTCTGAGCATGAGCTCGTACCCATTTGAGGTAAGGCTCAAGAGGGATGGAATTTTTGTGCCCTAATGTCTTGCTATCTACCTTGTTCAACATCCTCCATGCTCGGATAAACCTCTGGCGAAGACCTTGATTGTCACTTTCGTAGTTGAATACTAATCCTTGAAACAACATCTCATGAGGACCATCCCTTCGGGCATAACCAAACTGTCTTAGAGCCAAACAGGGGTTATAGGTGATACCTACCCTAATTCCAAGTAAGGGGACATTAGGGAACTCTCCACAATGGTCGATGATGATAACATTCTCTATAGATCGGGAACACCAATGGATGTCTGAATGCTTGAGCGTCATCAACCTTTGTGACCACCTTGAGCCTTGTTCATTCTTCAATACAGATTGGGGAAAATATGAAATAAACCATCTTGCCAAGAGAGGGGTGCAACACATAAGGATGCCTCTTTTCCTCATAGTGCGAGTGTGAAAGGAATGTAGGATGTCTCCTAGAAAGGTAGGCACCGGGTTACGAGACATGAAGATTTTAACGGTGTTCACATCTATGAGTTGGTCAGGGTTTGGAAACTCTTGACACCACTCCTTGTCTCCCAATTAGTTGTGATATCAAATGATTGTAAGTGTAGAGCTTGAGCAATCTCTTCGGGCGTTGAAAGGTAGTTGATTGAGAATGGGAATCCTCAAGAGTTGGGAGAGTTATTCCAAAGTTGGCACGAGTTGATAATCGGGGAACGTGAAGCAATGGTGTAGAGGATTAAAGAATTGGAAGAGCACCTTCAACATATCTTCATCAGTTTTGGAGGTAACCAAGTTTAGGAGACGACCATGTCTTTCGGTGAACGGAGAATTCTCAGGAATCCTTGATGCTAACTCTTTGAGTTGAGGAGGAATCCTTACGAGGTTAACTTGAATGGTTTTCCTACGGATATAATCCATGTCCTATAAAACAGAAACAAAGATAAATCTCAGAACTCCTTGAAATGGTTAGTGAGTATGAGTATGATGTTATGATGTTCATGATGTTATGTACAAGTAAAATATACACAAACAAAGAAAACAAGTCCTTAGGTTTAGGCTTGCATGGAATCTCATAGGTAAGTACCCTCTTGAAGTTTAGTCGGCACAAACATGTCCTAGTAATAGTAACCGGGTTCTAAGGAGCTCAATATCACTGGTTTGTTTCCTTGGGCATTGTTTCTGTGCAAGCCTCTTTAATGGCGACTAAAATATCCCAAAAAACCAAGCCTCAATGAGTGTAGTATCGAGTATCTACCAACTTCAGACTGCACCAAAGTCGGTCATCTCACTACGTCCTAATGGCCAAGCTGGTCAAGTAAAGGTTCTAAAGTTCATTAGTGCTTCATGACATCACTCAGCGGCCCCGTATTCTCATTGACTACTCAAGGGCTACCGGTACCCACAAATATGTTGTACTAACATAGATATTGCTTAGACCGTGTTGGTATACCCCGCACTGTTTCCACAATGTATTGCTACTTACCTATAAGGTATCCCAAATCCGGGTAGAGGATTCAAACCCAAACAAAGAACCATAATGTAAAACATATAAGTCAAACAAAGAAAGCAAATAAATGTGATCTTAGCCCTAAGGTAACCCCACTTTTAGAATACTCCCCAGCAGAGTAGCCAGTTCTATAATATGGCGGAAGAATTGACTCGGATATTTACGTTTGATCACAATTATACGGTTTAGCAAGAGTCGCCACTGACTTTTCTTTTATCCAAAAGGAAAGGTAAAAAAGCACAGGAAAGACCTTTCGAGATTAGTTCTCGGGTTTGGGGGGTAGATTATGAAAAGGGAAGTTATTATCACCCTTTTCATCCATGGTTTTCCATGGGCTCTTAGTTACTTTCTAGATCACTTGCTTTTGTTTGAATGTGCTTGTGGTGTGGGTTTTGAAAGTATTTTGAAAACGTCTTTGTAATGGTTCTCGTCTCTATAAGAATGCATACAAAGTGTTGTTTTGAAAAATAAATCAAAGAGGTGTTTGTGTATTGTGTTTTTTGAAGGTGATTTTGAAAAGATGTTTTTGTAATGGTTCTCGTCTCTATAAGAACGTATATAAAAAAAATTTGTCTTTTGAAAAAGGTTTTAATATGAAAGTGTTGGTGTAAAATGTTTGGTTGTGAGCAAGCGAGTAATTTAAGAGCGAATCTACCTACTCGAAAAGGTGTTGCTATCTTACCATTGATTTGGTAAGAAGCTCCATCATTGGATGTGAAGGGACGGACGCGGGACGTTTGTGCAGTCATAGAAGGCAACTTATGAGACGCTTTAGCAATTTTTATAAGGGACTAGATTGTTTTACCGAAGGTAACATCGAGGGACTACGATCTTTTTTATCGAAGGGTCTTTGCTAAAGCGTCCCATATTCGAGGGACATGACTGTGTTTCCGAGGCAACAAGCTAGCTTACCCTAGGGGTGCGCGTGTGAAAAGTGTGTTTGATTCAAGTTAAGTTGCTCTTTGATTAGGTTATCTAGCGATTGATTTGAATCTTGCCATACACGCCTATTTACTATACAGTATATAGAAAATAGTAAATTGGGGAATTTAAAATTCTACGCTATTATAGAGTTTTTGGAAATGGGGGTACAAATTCACAAATGGGGATGAGTCGGATGCGATTAAAAGTCCGAATAGGTAATCAATACAACCAAATTGAATCGAACAAATAATTAAAATTATAACAGTCTATTAAATTAATTGACAAAGTATAGAGATTCTTGGTATTTTTGGTTTGTAAGAAAGAGTTTTAAAAGAAAATAAAATTCTATTCTATTCTATTAAATCGTTTGCGTATTTTTTGTCTTTTTGGTATTTTTTATTATGAAGAAAAATAAACAACTTAAGGCTAAACATAAAGTTAATTAGTAAATTTATTTACAAAGTCCTAAACTAAATTAATTCTAAACAAAAATTAAAAATTAAGATTATAAAAAATTCTAAGATTTGTGGAAAATTAAATCTAATTTTAACAACAAATAAATTATATCTAAATTCCTTTATATGTAAACTAAATTAATTATAAAAATTTCTAAATCACAACTAACCTAATTCATTCTAAAACTATTATTTTAAAACTAAACTAAATTATTTAACAAAAGAAAGGTGTGAGACAAGGAATTGGAGGGGAAGAGTAACAATTTCGAATGGGCTTGCTTTGTGAAAATGGAGGTAAGGCCCAAATGCCCTCCAAACAAAAACTGGACAAGCTAAAAAAAGGTTGTGATTGGGCAGGATCGGGTTGGCCTGGATCCGGATCCAGCTAGAGGGGAAACAATTTTTGTTTTGAGAAGAACCCTAATTGTTGGGGAATAGGCGCCGCTGGGTACGTTCTTCTTACGAGAATCCTCACAAAACATAACAAGGGTCTCTCTTCTGTCCTCACGCACAAG